ATGCCCCCAAAGTCCCCCGCTGGGGGTGGAAGATGGACTTGGCAACCCTAAAGTTACTTTGTGTCTTATTGGACATGGAAAATATAGCGTTTCGCCTTTTTTTTTTACCTGAATTTGGGGTGACGAGGAGTTTATATCCATCAAGCTGCCCTTTAGGAGCCTTCCATGAAATCTGAATACTGTCATGATTAACTACAGTATATCTTAATCTTGTTGGCGGGGCCACTGAAAGGGAAGCAAAAATACGATTGTTAAAGTGTCAACAAAGATCTATCATATTTAATTTTAAAAATTAGTATTACAGCACACACAGACATTCAAATTAGCACAGATACACATGTTGTCAGACAAGACAAAGGATGCAGGTTATCAGAGAAGTCTCATGATGCTAGTCTATTAGTTTGTAAAATTACATTGAATATGTTAAGATGCATTACGGCCTCCCCAGTCGATTAAAAAGGGACTACTGATCCCACAGGAGAAGATGAGAACCCACAGGAGAACACACGAGTTAGAGGTTAAAACTGCAGTTTAGTAAGCAAAGGCAATGTACTATGTGCTCGTTGTTACATACGATCCATAGTAGTATCCATTGTAGTATGTGGTAGAGATTGAGAACATAATATTCCTTTCCTAGCATCTTAGGTTTTCTGTAGATAAGTCTGTGTGTGAGAGAGAATTACTCCAGGCTGTATTTTCCAAAGCACAAATCTGAATGCATGTTTTGGGATGTATGCAAGAAACAGGAAGTGTCATAATTTTCAAAGGGTCGTGGTGGTAGTGGGCATGCCTCAATACAAGATGCATGGACCCCAGTAGCAATTGGTTGAAGCCATGGGTTTGGGACTGTAAGCGGACATGCCTTTCTGCCTCTACCCCCCAGAGCAGAAGATGGTCCCCTAACTCAACTCAGCCAATATGGCCACCTGGATCCATGCCGCAGTAACACTGAGACTAGACTACTGTAATGTACTCTATATTGGTCTATATGTTGTCGAAAGCTTTCACGGATGGAGTTCATTAGTTGCTGTAGATTTTCCGGGATGTGTGGCCGTGGTCTTGGCATTGTAGAACCTGACGTTTCCCCAGTAACTGTGACTGGCATCCTCAGAGGTATAAACACAGAAAGATGTAATACTCCATCTTGACACAGAGAGTATTCCATCTTTCTGTGTTTATACCTCTGAGGATGCCAGTCACAGTTACTGGCGAAACGTCAGGTTCTACAATGCCAAGACCACGGCCACACATCCCGGAAAATCTACAGCAACTAATCTATACTGGTCTGCTCTTGAAGTCAACTCAGAGACTCCAGTCGGCACAAATTAGGAGCCAGGAGGAGCATTCATATCACAGCCATATTGCGATCACTCCACTGGCTGCTCATCAGTTACTGGAGGCCAATACAAGGTGCTGGCTCTCAGATGTGAAGCCCTTCATGGCCTTGAACCCTCATATCTGCAGGACTGCCTTTCCTCGTCTGCCCTGCCACAACAGTTTTGCTCATGAGCAGGGCCTTCTGCAAGTGCCACCCTGCAAATGGACAACAGCAACAATGGCCCATTAGGGGAATTCTCCGTAGCAGCCCCTACCTTGTAGAATGCCCTCTCTGAAGTTAGGAAGACTCCCATACTTCTGGTATTCCACAAACAGAATTGTTCACGGGGACATGTTTATAAAGGTAATATGTGGGGTTGCCAAGTCCCCCCGGGGGGCAGGGAAAACCCCGCCCAAGAGGCCCATTCCCCACTGGCAGGGATTGGGCTGCTGGGGGGGACCCCACCCCCAAAGCACGCGACATGCTCAGCGTGAACACAACACCCAGAGGTGACGTAATCGCGTTGGGCACATTGCAGGGGGATGCTCTATCATCCGAGGGAAAACTCTATGTTTTCCCCTCGGATGATTGTGGCCCTGCCCCCAACGAGGATCTCCAGGCCGGCGACCGGGACTCCCCCACTAAACTGTAAGTGGCACTTGGCAACCCTAGTAATAGGGCTGTATTATAATGCAGTGGTTCAAGAAGGGGCTTTAATAAAGGGAATCGAGCTATGGCATATATTATCTGTTTGTTGTATTATTGTCTTGCTCTCAATGCATAGTTTTCTACCTACATAAATCCATGTTTTGGCATTATTAAGTCTAACATGCTTTGTTTCAGATTTCTGCAACCCCAGTCCTATTAGTTTGCTTATCAGATGTCTTATTCTATTGCTTGCACAGACTTACATTGCATCTTGAATCTCGACGAGAAAGGTAGATTATAAATAATGTAAATAAAAAAATTAATGGATTGCCTGGATCTCTTGAGCTTCTGGGTAATTAAGGGTGGCCAGATATCCTTATTTTAAGGCAGAATGCCCCTTAGGGCACGTTTATTCTATAAATACAAATTTGTCCAACTGTCATGTCTTCTAACCAATGGACTCTGACAACTGTAGCTCTGTAAGAGAATCCATATAACCAAAGAAAGTTCAAATGACCATAAACTTACAGTTCTCACAGTCCCTGGGTAGAAAAGCCATAGCAGTGAACCTATCGGTGTAAACAAGCTTGCATTCTAGTGTGAAAGGAGCTGATAGTCCTGACCTTAAAAGCCACATACCAAAATGTGACAGACTCCAGACATACGCAGATATACTTATCCCCAATTTTTAATCAGGGTTCCATGTCTCTGCAGAAGACCTTAGCCCAGGCCTGTACAAGCTTTGACCCGCCCAGTCAAAAACCCACCATGTACAAGTAGCCTGGTAATCTCCTATTTTTGCAGAGACTACAGCCTCTGGCAGGCCACACAAGTGGTGGGCTGTGTTCGATTTAGAGAGGGTTCACAAATTATGCAGTTTTGTCTTCGACCCAAATACCTTCCCAAGACATGATCCCTTGCTATGCATTTGGGTATACTGAGCAGCCTTCCCTTTCTGTTCTTTACATGCTCCACAGTCCTTAAATCGTCAATCTATCTAGCCAAACCGCCCCCCAACCAACTTCCCCTTCACCCCTAGGATTGCCAGGTGTGTGTGTGTGTGTGTGTGTGTGTATATAGCTTTATTTTAAATGTTTTTAATCTTTGATGTTCACCATCTTAGGGACCCCATTTGAGTAGAAAGGCAGCATACAAATATTTAAAATAAATAAAGTGGGTTTTGTCTTAAACGGATACAGAAGGTACATGAACTTCACAAGGCTTCCAGTACTCTTTTTCTGTGCCACTCCACAGAATTTATGTATCCTCACACAAGTTTAGCCAATGGAGAAGCTGAGCCGCAAAAAGGTTAAGGGCATATAAATAATAAAATTATCAAGCCAGTTTAAATCTATTTTTTAGCGTTACCCTAATCTTTTTTCCCCCCTACTATTTCTGGTTAGTTAGATCAAATAATGTGCTTTGCTCCATAGACTGTACACAGATTAAGCCCCCAAAGGAATTTAATATACAAGACAGCAATTGAGCAATTCAAGCAAGAGGAGACAAGCCACTTAAGTATGAGAAAGGGGGTGCTGGAAAGAAAACAGGACAGCTAGTTTACAGCTGCCATACAGCATAAGGGGTTGAGCTTGACTACCTTTTTGTTAAGCTATATGACCATGGAATCATAAAGTAGACTCTACTACCACTGAAGGAGGGGAAACCATATATTTGAACTGCCTTCTTAGGCATACTGGTTCAGATCCAAACTAGCATTTCCAGAAGTGCAAGGATTTCCATTCATGGAGCGCAATTTCCCCCCTTCCACAGCAGACAAGACGCCCCTGAAATTCCTGCTCTGGAGACAAAGGGGACCCCCACGAACAGAATTTAAGGGGGCGTTTTGGGCTGCCATGGGAAGGGGGAACAGGAAAATCATATTCCCTGAGGAGAAGGAAACGACTGGTCTGGATCCAAGCCACTTTTTTCCCCCCTATGTAGGAACATTCAAGCACACAATTCCTTACTGGTATGATGAAGCAGTATGGCTTACAAATAGGTACGCCAGCCTCCAGGTGAGACCTGGAGATCCCCCAGAATTACAGATCAGCTCCAAACTAAAGGGATCAGTTCTCCTGGAGAAAGTGGATGCTTTGGAGGGCAGACTCTATGGCATTGTGCTCCACTGAGGTCCCTCTCCTTCCCAGGCTCTACCCCCAAATCTCCAGGAGTTTACCACTCTGGATCTAGCAACCCTAACCCTCCCCCCCCCCCCAGGGGCGGGGGGGGGGGGGGAGGACCTGGCAGCCTTATTTAGAAAAAACTGCACTACACAATGTCACTAATGTCACTACATGATAGGGTTGCCAGTCCCTGGAGGGGGTTCCCCCAGTTTTGGGGGGTTCTGCCTGCCGCTGGCCAGCTGACCAGTGGGGGAAACCCAACCCCCAAACAGAGACATCACAGTGTGACTTCTAGGGTTGCCAAGTCTTACCTGCTGTCGGAGCAGGGGACTCCCGGCTTCTTCCTGGAGTGTGCGCGCGCGCCGCGACCACGTCACCCAGAAGTGACGCGACCACGCCGGGCACGCTGGGGGCGGGGCCACGACCATCCAAGGGAAAATCATAGAGTGACGTGCACGTCAGGTGCTTTGGGGGTGGGGTTCCCCCCGGGGCCCGATCTGCCAGCGTCGGGGAACGAGCCTCTGGGGCGGGGGGTTCCCCGCCCCCCAGGGGGACTTGGCAAGCCTAGCGACTTCCCCAAATGATGACATCACCCGGAAGTAACATCATCATGTCAGGGACATTGTGCGGTGACACTACGGCTTGAGGGGGAAACTCTATGGTTTGAAGCCGGTTTTACCATAGAGTTTTGCCCGAAAAGCAGAATGTCGCCCCCAACGTTACCAATGTAATGACGTCACTTCCACGTGATGTCATTGCATCAAGGACATCCTTTAATGCCACCCAAACCCCACCCCCACTGGTGCAACAAGGGAACCTGGCAACCCTCCTACATGATCGTGTCATTGTCCTGAAAGCAAAACTAACATGCTAAATAGAATTCTTGCCAAATTCCTGCACTCTTATTTTCCTATCAAGGAGAAATAACTCATGGGACTGCCCTTCTTGGAACATATCATTTCATACAAAAGGTGGGGCGAATTACATATTTCAGGGGCGGCCTGCATGACAGGAGATATCTTTACCTGGAAAGCTATCATATCTGAGACAAAACTATGCATATTGTTAGTCGTATACATTTATGCCCCACATTTCAGGAAGTGCCTAACTACAAAAGTGCCTATACATTCAGCCTTGAACTTCAAGTACCTGCCTGAATGAAGCAAAATAGCTAGGCTTGCCAAGTCCCCCCGGGGGGCGGGGAAAACCCCGCCCCAGAGGCCCGTTACCCGCCGCCGCTGAATCTGGCCCCGGGGGGAACTCCACCCCGACGTGCACATCACCAGGAAGTGACGCGACCACGCCGGGCATGCTGGGGGCGGGGCCACAGTCATCAGAGGGAAAACTCTATGGTTTTCCCTCGGATGGTCGTGGCCCTGCCCCCAGCGTGGTCACGTCACTTCCTGGTGATGTAGATGCAGCGCGCATGCTCCAGGATCAACACGGGAGTCCCCCGCTTCAGGATAAGTTACGACTTGGCAACCCTAAT